CAGCCCTGCCCCTGCGAGGGGGGAGGCGGCCTCTCGCCCCCCCGCTTCTCTGCTGCTTCTCGCTCAGGGAGGTGAAAGCGGCGTTCTGCTGCCATAGCGAGAGCGTGACGTCAGGCGCGTGACGTCATCCCGCTGGAGGTGCAAAATCCTCCTTCTGGTGGGCTGCCCACCCGCGGACAGGCCGCGGGGCTCCCTTCGGTGGCCCCTGCAGAGGGGAACGGCGGGTCCTCAACGCCAGCGGGGCGCTGGGACACCCCGGCCTTTCTGAGAGGGGGCAAAGCAGCCGGGGGCATTGCTGCTGGTAGCCCGGGCCCCGGCCCTCGGTGCCCACGCGGGTCACGGTGCCCACGCACGGCCCCGCCGGGGCGGCCGCTGGCTCTGCAGGGCCCGGGTGCTCTCCCACGCTCCGCTGCCTCCGTGTCCGGCACAGCGCAGCCCTGCACCGGTCAGATCCTCTGCTCCCGCCTCCAAAGGCGCCTTCCTTTAGTCTGGAAGTGCAATCGTTAGGCAGCCTTCAAGCTCTTGGCTAATTTCAAAACCTGCCTATTGAAAGACCTTTTTAGAGAATGCAGCGTACATATTAAATCTCTGTGCTGCAGGCTTAAATCTTCTAATAATCATAAATTGGGGATTAACTTTCCGTGGACCAACGTCTGAAATTCAGAATGGTATCTTGACTTGAAAAGCATTATGCGTTTTTTCCTTTTATTACAATTCTGAAGCAAGGATAAAAGAGTCGGTTGCTAAAATTTTGAAAACTCTCATATGAAAACGCGTTCGGTCTTTCCCTCTGAAAACCAAGCACGACATGGCTTAGTTTGGGGAAATTTTTTTGGAGGAGAACGTAACCACGTACTACAGTTAATCCCTATTGTTGGCCCGTCTCGTGCTTTCCTTTTAATGCGCTCCGATGAATCATTCTGTTTGCCTTAACCGTTTCTGCAGCCGGGGCTGTAATTTGTGCGTTTCCTGGCGCTGCTGCTGCGCTGGGCTGCAGAGACGGTCTCGCACCTGAGTGCTGGCAGCCAGGGTGCGGGGACAGCCCCCGGTGCCACCTTCCGCCGCTGCCACCCGCCTGCCGTGGGCCGAGCTGGGGTCCTGGGGCACCCCAAGGCCGTGCAGCCGGGGCGAGCGCCGGCTCTTCAAAAAAGCCATTCTCTGGGCTGCAAGCACAAGTGCAGCGAGTTTGGTGGCCTCAGCGTGGCCGAGGAGGGGGGAATGCCACCGGGCTGCAGAGCTGCGGGTGCGCAGCCTCTGTGCGGGAGACGTGGGGGTGCCCAGCCTCGGTGGCCGGGGCAGGGTGTGGCCTGGGGGCTCCCCACGGGATGGGCTGGGGGCCAGGGGATCTCCCACGCTGGCGCGGGGAAGGAGGAGAGCACCGGAGCGCTCGCCAGCCAGAGCTGAAGGTGTGAGGCAGCGGGAGGGATCTGGTCCCAGGCACCCAGCCGATGGCCTCCCTGGCTGATGGCGGGCTCGCCACCCGCGCCGTGCAAAGGGATGCAGAATAGGTGCCTGAAACGCGTCCCGGCTGCCCACCTCCCGGGGGGCAGGGGAGCGGGAGGAGGCCGGTGGGCTCTCGGCCAGCCGCCTGCCTGGAGGGGCTAGCCCTTCGTGGGCATGGCAGGCAGCGACACGTGTGTTCGCCTGCACCGGGTGCTGTGGCACGGCTCAGAGGGGTGCTGGAGGGACCCAGAAGGCCAAAGAGAAGGAAGGTAGAAAAAAAGAAAGAAAAACTCTCGGAAATATTTCCATTCCGATTGCTGCATCGGATCCTGGGCCTTTCATTTCAGGTGCAATTTGAGGTGGTTTGCACACACAGACTGCAAAATGCGCCCAAGTAAGACACGCTGTATGAAAGAGCATCATCTTCCTGCAGACATCAAAGCGTCTAGGGGAATACATTTATTTCAGGATCCTTTTCCTCTGTCACACTAACACGCACGTGACCACAGAAACAGCAATTCTTGGCTGAACTGTGATTTTTGGTTTGTGGGAGGTATGGTGTTTTTCTGGGTAAGCGCTACTTATCTAAATGCCCCCAAAGTCTAGCCTATTCCTTTGCAAAAAGTGCACCGAGGTGCATGTTGTCTTACTGAAGAATAATAAATGTTTGCTTTATAAGTCTCATTGGAAAGGTTCAGGGATCTGTTTCCTTATGAGACCAATAAAATGCAGAACAACAGCCCTTTGTGCAATTTCCCTTACTCATGTAAGAATACTGTGAGGAAATAACTAATAATAAAAATAGTGTCCCTCCTTTGACAGTTAATTCAGAATGCATTAATTATATAATTACAGTGAAAAAAAAAAAAAACCCGAGCAAGTTTTTCAACAGAATCTACATCAAGTGATGCAATTCCCAGGCTGGGAGCAGCGATTATTGACTGCGCTCCTCTCCAGAGAGAACTCTGCTCCGTGTGACAAGTTGGGAGAATGTTTGTCGTTCTAAAACTCTGACATAACAGATTTCAAAGCTGAGTGAAATCTGGGGAAAGACTCTCCTTGCCTTAAGTAACTTCAGATTAAGCTAGAATTCTGTTTTAGCCGCCCGGGTTGGTATTTTGGAGATGCTCTGTTGCTTTTGCTGAGTCTCGTTCCTACCTGAGCCCACATTTCCATCATGTTGCAGTTGCAAACCTGAGGCAGAGCTTGCTTGCAAACCCCTCCCAGAGCGGGGAGGGAAGCTCAGCTGCAGTTTGGAGCCCTGGTCTTGCCACCGCTCTTTGGGGGCCCTGCCGTGCCCAGGAGCCCTGGCACCGGAGGATAGCTGTGCAGCAGCTGAACTGGTTCATTAATTGCATTCTGCAAGTGAACCGAAAGCCCGTGTCCTGCCCCCCTCGTGCTTTGCGGTTCGGCGGGCTGTCGAGGCGCTGGTGCTCAAGGAGATGGGGAGATGTCCCAGCAGACCCCCTTCTGCAGTATTGTACGTCCCGTTAGCGGCAATTTAGCCTGCACGGTGGTGAGAGGATGGGACACGAACAGCCTGCCTTCCCCTCTGCTGCCCTCCGTGCGGGTCGGCTCCGGCCGTATTCTGCACGGGCGAGGGAGCTGGGGCTGCACGGCAGTGTCCTCTCCTGCTCGCAGCCTCGCAGCCCCGGGGCGGGCTCCCCAGGCTGGCAGAGGGCACGCAGGGACGGGGAGACTCCCCCCTGGCCCCAGCCGCGGTGTAAGGAGCACAGAAAGTGCCCAGGGGGTGAGGAGCAGGCGGGGGTCCTGTTTGCAGCTGGCTGCACCTTCAGGAGGTGTGCAAGGGCCCATGGGGACTGGCCAGAGCGCCCCGAGTCCCTGGGGATTTTGGCTGCCGGCAGGGCGTCG